GAGCTCATGGAGTTAGAGGATTGAAAGGGGGAGAAGAAGAGAGAAGAGAACCACAGTGCCGACAGAATAAAACACACCCTTGGGTCTGAATGATACCTTTGAAATGATGCTTAGGTACCTCATTTCAAATTCATTTGCTTTTGCTCATTCCCAGATTATCAGAAAATACGGATCCTCTTTTCTCTCTCAAAAAAATTATTCATGACACTTATTAAAACAGTAAGGCAGACTTCATCAGGGAACAATTAGAATAGAAATTAGGATTTTGCAAGTTTTGCATTAGGGTTCTGTAATAGGAGAGAACTTTTAAAACTCTCCATGCCCGCCTTAGCTTGTTTGGCAATCAAATAGAGCATTGGCCTGCAGACTGAAGGGTCCCGGGTTGGATTCTGGCCAAGGGCACATGCTGGGGTCCTGGGCTCGGTCCCCAGTAGGGGGTGTGAAGGAGGCAGCCAATGAATGATTCTCTCTCATCATTGATGTTTCCCTCTCTCTCCCTTCTCCCTTCCTCTCTGAAATCAATAAAAATATATTAAAACTCTCCATTACCCATGTCACATGCAGACCACTTAAATGAGAATCTTGCTGGGACCCAGGCATCCAAGGGGACCATGAATGCAATACTCTGAATGCAATGTGGAAAAGTGGGATGTGTAGGAACAGAGGGGTTGGGGTTTATGGTCTGTGGATAGAAAATTACTAAGAGGAAACATCAGGAATAAGGGGGATGCTAGCTAAATCAACTTAACAAAGTTCTTGCTCTAGGCCAGTGATCAGCAAACTCATTAGTCAACAGAGCCAAATACCAACAGTACAACGATTGAAATTTCTTTTGAGAGCCAAATGTTTTAAACTTAAAACTTTTTCTAATGCCACTTTTTCAAAATAGACTCGCCCAGGCCATGGTATTTTGTGGAAGAGCCACACTAAAGGGGCCAAAGAGCCGCATGTGGCTCGCGAGCCGCAGTTTGCTGACCATGGATTTAGGCAGACCAGGGTGATCAGACATCACCTGGGACGGTAGGGAATGAGGAAATGAATCCTATATTGAAGGTGACCAGGAAGCACCTGAGCTGGGAAAAACTTAGCAAGGAGTGGGAAGGTTCTGTTAAATCAACTTGACTGAATTCTTGTTCAAGACAGACATGGAGATCCAAAAGTGGAGGAGGCCTAGTTGGGAAAGGAATTCAGAGGAATTTGACTCAAGTTTGGTGAAGGAGGGACTGTCACTTCCAAAACTCAAACTGTCCTGAGAATAAAGAAGCAGAAATTACCATCCATTAAGGCTCAACTATATGTGGACCTAACTTCATGCAAACAAACATTCACCCCTCTCTCTAGGCTGAACAACCGTCTGGGAGGCAAGTGAAGAGAGAGCAGGCCCTGGGGCCCCACTCTGCACGCCCCTTGCCTCCTCAGTCTCCCTGTCTTCCACGTTGATCTGGATTCAAGGAACTCTGCAGGCAAATGCAGTTCCACAGGCCCCTTCGCAGGCCCCGCACCTGCTCCAGCTTCCCTGGCAGCTCACCCTCTTCCCCCTCCTAGTCATGCCGGGCTCTGGGGAGACCCCCTCACGTTCCCCCCGACAGTGTGAGTTTTCCAGCTCTTTAATTCTGCCTTATTCTCCTCTGTTCTTACAACCAAGGTCTTCGCTGCTTTCATTGTGTTTTCAGGTTTCGCTCTGATGCCTAAATTAATAATAATGGGACGGCCTCTTGGCTGTTTGCTTACTTTTCTTTCTGCTCAGTTTCTCCAGGTTGAATATTCCTCCATATGGGTTGTGTGCTCATCTGGCTTCCCTTTTTTGAGTCCATTTTAAAGAAGCAGAGCATTTTACACATGGTTTTCACTCTAGAACTGGGTAAGTTGGGGAGGTGGGTGTAGGAAAGGAAATTGCACCCAACATCTGCCTGGATGTGAAGCTGAGGGTCATTACTGACTTTAGCTTTAAATCCGAGCTCTAGAAATCATCTCTCTCTCCTTCTCTCTCTACCCCTTAGAGACCCAACCTTTCCCCCAGATAATCAATAACCTCTGGGCGGCAGAGGAAAGGCAGCCTTGGCCCTGGCTAATGGTCTGGACCTCTGCCGGCTAAAGATAACATCTTGACCTAAGTTACATTTCAGTTCCTCAGCCCTAAGGTGGAACGGTCCCTGGCTACTTTTCCATGAGTTGGGACAGAGGGACATGGGAACAGACCTCAGAGCTGTCCGCAAGGCCTGGAGAAATGATTCATTACCCAGACCTCCAACCAATCGGCTCCCAGCACGACACTGCATTCCTGATCTACAGCATCGCATGATGCTGCCCTACATGATCTGCAGCCTACACATGGAGTTCCAGCTTTTGAGCATTAACTTCCCATTTCCTGGGTGGCACCATTCCTAACAAAATAGCCAAACTTTCTCCACTGCAATTCTCATGGTTCGTGGGTGGCCTTGCTAGCACCCGGTGAATGAACTCTTTCTGTTTGATTACATTCCACATAACTACTTTCTCATTTCTAAAATGGACTAATAAATGTACTAATAGATGGTAGGCTCAGTGCCTTTGTCCCATGGACTGAATGAGCCTGCCCTTCCAACTTGCTGGTGCTTATTTAATAATTCTCCAATGGGCCAATCTCTGTTGTTTGAGGAACTCGTGAGAGGCTCTGTTGAACCCAAATACTTTCTTTCATAGCCTGATAATACCTGAAGTTTCATCTCTCTTAAAGAGGAGTCCTTTGAAGGTTTTTGTCGGTTTGTTTGTGTGTTTTGTTTTTTCAAATTTGAACCAAAAGGATGATCACAAACTGCTCCTGGAAAGTTCACATATGAAAAAAATGATTGGTGCCCTTTTGGATGGGAGACTCTTGACAGAGAGAGAGAGCAAGATAAATGAGGAGCTGCCAAGTCCTGAGGTGGGGGTGGATGGACAGCTAGATGGGGGACCAAGGACTGTTTCACAACTTTGCCTGAAAGCAGCTGAGCTGGGGAAAACAGGCATTCCCACCCACCCCCTAAGATCATTTCTCATAGTTTCTTTTCCTCCCTATTCCACAAGGATTTGTCAAGAGCCTAAAGTTCTGGCCAGAGTACAAAGAGAAAGAAATGAATCAGAAAGGCAAAAGTTAATCAGTTATCAAAACTCAATACCTCTCTAGCCACCACAGAATATAGCCATACAGATCTTGCCTTTAAACTTAAAGCATAAAGTAGAGACAAAGATATGAGGGAGGAGGGGCAAATATATATACACATATACTCACATAGAGTAATACAAACTGTGTACAACATATATATATGTGTTTCTCCCCAAATGTCTCTTTATACCTTAGACTATAAACTTATTATATATACACACATACATAATATTCACTACATAGAAACAAGTCAAATTAATAACCTCACCATCATAACTGATCTGAACCTCATAGGCTAGTCCAGCTTGGTTCTCTCTTAGATTTCTTGACCAGGATCTATCCTTCAAGTCTCTTATCTTTTCCTCATAATTTTCTTACCTTTTGTTATTGTTTGTTTGGACTATTTATTTGTTTGTTTTGGGTGTCTTCGGCTTTTTTTTCTTCTTTGCTTTAACATTTTTTTCCCCCCACTTGGTCATATTAATTTGAATCTTAACAGTGTTCATGCTCTCCTTCAAGTTCTGTACTGAATATTTTAGTTTACAAATCTCAGTTTTTAGTTTGGAAAATGTTTTTGTTTTGTTTGCTTATTTATCCTTGAATTCCCTTAAGTAGTCTTATTTTCTTCATTAAAGTCAGTAAATATCTTCCAGGCTTCTCTACATGTTTGTTTGATCTTCACCTATTTGGCTAGAAGTGTCTTTATCCATGTTATCACTCTTTCTCCGCTCTCTGGGGCCTCTCCCAGATGTTGGAATTCCCATGGAGCCTAAGGCCTTCATTGCTCTGAGCTGCCTGCCAGCCCCACCGCTACTTGGGTCAGGACTGATAACCAGGTTTAGAGTTGGGAATGGTGGGGAAGTGGGATGAAATCACTAGTGGCCCCAAATCCTCTAGAAATCTCTGGGAACTGATTATTGAAACCATAACTCTGTATTTTCAAGCATCTCAAACGTAGGGTCAATGATCTGGAGTTGAGTACGGAGTTTTCCTCACCGTCTGAGTGGTCCTGCACATGTTCTTCAGCACACAGGCTTCCCTTCCCTGTCTGTAAAACGAGATTCAGCCATACTGCCCCACTTGCCTCCCAGGTGTGTTATAAGGATCCAGTGAAACAGTAACCACTAACTGCAGACCTGGAGCTGTCTTTGTGATTGCTATTATTCCCAGTCCTGGCTCCTTTTCTTTCTTTAACTAAACTTACAGAATTGGAAGAGGCAAGCACTTGGGGAAAAAAATGACAAAATACCTCCAGCTTCTGGAACCCTACAAACAAATCAATCAAAATAGATTTTTCACCGAAACCGGTTTGGCTCAGTGGTAGAGCGTCGGTCTGTGGACTGAAAGGTCCCAGGTTCGATTCCGGCAAGGGCATGTACCTTGGTTGCGGGTACATCCCTGGAAGGGGGTGTGCAAGAGGCAACTGGTCCATGTTTCTCTCTCATCGACGTTTCTAGCTCTCTATCTCTCTCCCTTCCTCTCTGTAAAAAATCAATAAAATATATATTTTTTAAAAAATAGATTTTTCAAAAAACTACTAACTTTTCTGTTCAGCACTAACTGTAGATCAGAAGGCAGGAGAAAAACAATGAAGCTATCTCCCTTCCTACATACAAAACGGGAGGTGTGGCTCTTTTGGTGGCAAGTTTCTGGTTCAAGCCCTGTGTTGCAGGCTGGATTCCTGGTAGGGGTAACAGGGGGCAGATTGATGCTTCTCTCCTTTTCCCTTTCTCTCTCAGTAAAAAAAAAAATCAATAAAAAACATTTTTAAAAACGGAGGGGCTGTGGGAGAGAGGAGAGGATAGTAATTAAAGGGATGAGAGAGAGAGAGAGAGAGAGAGAGAGAGAGAGAGAGAGAGAGAGAGACACTACAGTTCACCAGTTATCATTTCCTTGACCTTGGGCAAGCTGTTTTATCTTCCTAAACCTACTTTCTCATTTCTAAAATGGACTAATAATGTACTAACTTTGTCATGGGAGTTTAGTGAAGATAAAGTGGAATAATAGCATGCCCTACATAAAATTTGTGAGACATAGTAAGTGCCAAATAAATAGGATTAAAGTGTATACACACATATCCCTTTCCAGACTGTTTACACTACATGTGTTTGATTTCCATAGGCAGACTGGCCTTTTCTCAGTTTTGTCATTTATACTGCCCCATCCATGACTTGCCATTGAAGGGGGGAATAATCCCTCTCTTGAGTTTTAAGTGGCAATAAATTCTTCAATGGGCTTGAATAATGTGCTTTCCTCTGTGCAGAATAAAAATAAAGTAAAATTAACATTCCCATCAGCTGAACAGGTGCCCCGGAGAGACCGGCAACTGTCACGTGCCATCGTGGGGACACTGACAAGCAGGGACAGAGTGCCCGGGGCAGCACGGTGTCTAATTATGGAATCTTTAATTCACGGCCCCTTTTGGCAGGGAAGGCCCCCAGCACAGATTGGTGCGGACAAATAAAGCTTCTGAATCTTAGCACTTGGCTCGACAGCCAAGGAGGCTTAGGAACACCTGCTCGGCGCTAAGCACCAAGCATTAGAGGAATCAAAAGAAATTAGAGAGGTGGTCCCTGCCCTTGAAGAGCTTATGGTCGACTCCATCAACTTATTTCTACGTGCTGGCCTTGGTATATATTTGGATTTTTGCAGAACCTCATTGTCAAAACTTTACATTAGTCACCCTCTTCATTTCAAAGTTTATGTGACTGTGAGGCCTGGAGAGTTTGTGTGGCTTGCTCATGCAGACAATTCTATTGTATAAGGGAACAGAATAACTAAGGATCGTTTCCAAGTACAGACCTACTGAAGTTCTTAAAAATCGTACTGAGTTCCTCTGAGTGCTTCAGGCATGCTGATGGGACGTGTGACCCAGTTTTTTAAATCACATCTTCTTCCTTTTCGCCAACACACAGAGTTAGAAGAAAACTGGCTTAAGTAAAGAAAAGGAAGCCTCCAGGTGGCGGGGAATGTATGGACCACTGGGTCTCTGTCAGCAGCAGCCGCCAGGCAGCCCCGTCCTTCCCCTCATCCTTTCCCTGGTGGAGGAACCGCATGGAGCTGGTCCCCACTGACACCCTACAGAGGACCATCCTTGAAAGAGCCTGGGAAAGAAGGGCAAGCCCCCTGAAGTTGGATCTATTTGAGGAGCTTTTTGGGCTGAAGAATTAGAAAAAGATAATTTTATTGCAGAAACTCATCCAAAGCCTTCCGCAGGTTTTACTTCATTTCATCCAAATGTCCAGACCAACATTAACTGCTGGTCCTCAGAACTCCCCTCACTGCCTCTCACTGGGCTGTAATGAAGTACCCGAAGCATTGAATGATTCCTGCAAGTGGTCAGACGTGGGTTCCTCACTTACTGATTCTGTTCCTTTCAACAGGTTACCCAGCCACCCCCACCAAAGTTTCCTTTTATGCGAAGTCAGGATCACAATTCCTCCGAAGGGTACAGGACAGTGCCATGCAGAAGTAAAGGAGAGAGACGGTCAGGAGTGGTATCCACCTCTGGTCCTGAGTTTCCAGGTGACCTCCCCTGTGGTGACTTCCTTTGAAAGAGGTTCAATTCTGGGCTCCTTAACAGAAGTGTGAGGAGACGTTCAGGGCAAAAAGACTAACCTACATATTCACATAGCACAACAGGGAAGCCATGAAATTATTCCGTTTCCAGCCGCATGGAGAATGTTTAAAATCACTTATGATAGCAAAAGGGGAAGAAACAGAAGTATTGCAAGGTCTTACAATTTTTGTGTAAAGAAGAACAAAATATAACTGGGTTATCTTTTCTTTTTCTCCAATTAATTTAAACGACAAACAAAAAGTCCATTTTGACACTCAGAGGTGAAAAATATTTTTCTCTCTCTACATTTCCTGCTGTATTTCCCGTTAGGATGTAAAATCTTGGAAATGACATTTTGGTTTTCCCAAGTGTTCACCTCATTCAAAGCAAATTAGTCAGAGAATCACAACCTGCATAAATCCATCAGCGTCGGGGCCCAGGGATCTCAGAACACGACTGGGCTGAATCCTGAGATAAGTCCTCATGCCAGAAACGCTATTATTTAGAAGGACAGCAAAAACAACAATCGGAGATGACATCAGGATGGTGAGAACATTGCACTCTTCTTCCTTGTGCATCAGAAGAAGCTAACATCTGCTCATTGCTGGCTAACAGGACAATACCGGAGCCTGGGAAATGTCTGCTTGGCTCCAGCACGCATACTCTTCTGCCCTCTGGGGAAAATTCCCTCTTCACTCCATGGCTCCAGAAAGACCATTGGCATGGCACGCAAACACCTTCTGGAGATGGCATGGAAATATCAGTCAGTGAGCTGAGAACAGATAAGGATGTGTTTTTACACTTGTGGATAAGTAGATTCTGTTTGGAGCATGGTGAACCCTTCTGTCAACAGGTCCTTTCTCAATTCTTAGCCTCTGACTTATTTAAGGACATTACAGAGACTATTTATTGGTCGGGGCAGGGAGGTGGGGGAGGGAAAAGGGGCTTGTGTGCAATTAGGTAGAAGAAATTGGCAAGAGTGCAAGACAGATAAAACCGAAGAGATGAGGCAAGGCCAGAGGAAACATCTGGAGGCCCTGGCAAGGGTCCTTTTCGGCTCCTCGCCTGAAGTAGCTCCCTATTTACCCTCTTCATTGTTGGCCAGAGTTCTGTTTTTCCTGCTATTGCAGATTTCTCTAAAAAAAAAAAACAAGTAGGATGACAGCAGACATTGGCATTTTGCTTCTAAAACTCACAAGATGTCCTCTCAAATCTCACCGGGCAGATTCTGCTTAAATAATTCACCGCTAGTGGAGGGCTTTACATAAACTGCTCTGACACATACCGGGGTAACTAGTCAGGATTTTCCTGGGGTGCTCATACCTGGTTATAGATCTCAGAGAAAGCCCTGCAGCTGTGTGCCTCAGGTCTGACAATGCTGCCTTTTATATTCAGGAGCCAGTACATATATCTGCAAGGTTCAGAGAAAAGAGTAGTTTAAAGAACTTATTTATTTTATGATGGTAAGAATATTTTTCCCCTCTAACAAATGTTTAAGTGTGTAATACCTATTGTTAATCATACAATAGATACAGTGCTTTTTGGAACTTAATTGCCTTGCTTACCTGAAATGTTATTCCCCTGCGATTAGCAACCTCCAATTCTCTCTCACTCCAGCTTCTTGCCACCACTATTCCTTTCTTTGATTCCATGCTTGTGACTATGTTAGACACCTCATATAAGTGGAATCCTGTAGTATTTATCCATATGTGACTGATGTATCTCACCAAGGAAAATGTCCTCATCCAAGATTCATCCATGTGACTTGGAATATGGATGTTTCGATCAGTAGAATCAAGTCACATCCATTTCCTACCACAGCTTTCTGAGCACAGGTAGGCCCTCCCATGCTCATCCAGCTGGTGGCCTCAATTCTTGCAGAGTCAGGCTCCAATGCTAACCCTCCGTTTCCAAGGAGAATTCCATAGAAGTGAGAAGTTTAGTTAATATACCACAGACACTGCTATAAAGAAAAAGCTTCAGGTGCCTTATGACTTACTTTCTCTCTCTCTCTCTCTCTCTCTCTCTCTCTCTCTCTCTCTCTCTCTCTCTCTTCTCTCTCTCTGTCTCTCTCTCTCTCTCAAAAAGAAAAAATCTAGATATTTTTGTAATCCTTGTCTCTTCACTCCAATTTCTGTGGACAATTCACTCCTAATATGTAAATTCCTAACATATATAAACATAGGTTTTTGGTGACCACATTAATGAAGTGGACACCTTATTAACAGCAAGAAAAAGAAGAAGGTACTCCTGGGGATTTTAGTTGTAAATATTATCACATTATGCTTAATTACACAATGGATCCAAGATAAATCTTAGACCTATGTATCTCTTCCATATACTGCAAGACATTTTCTTACAAAATGCACCTTATCCCACAAACAATGGCTAATCATAAGTTATTGAACCAAATCAGGTCTCAGCAAATTCCCAATACTCTATCTCATTGGAATGTCAGCACTTAAAAGAGAACAGAAACAAGTTACATTGGCTTATACCTGAAAATCTGTTTTGGAGATCAGAGATACTAACTTTAGTCATATTTGTTGTAACAGCTCTTGAGCCCAATTCTTCCTTTGTATAAATACCATCTTTATAGAGGTCATTCTGTGCAAATGTATTTTATTGCTGAAAATTGAGTAATGTCAATAAAATATGTCAGTCTTCCTCTTTAATCAATCAAAATGCCTGAGAAGCCCTAGCTGATTTGGCTCAGTGGATAGAGCGTCAGCCTGAAGACTGAAGGGTCCCAGGTTGGATTCCAGTCAAGGGCACATGCCCAGGTTGCGGGCTCAGTAACCCAGTAGGGGACGTGCAAGAGGCAGCCAATCAAGGATTCTCTCTCATCATTGATGTTTCTCTTTCTCCCTCTCCCTTCCTCTCTGAAATCAATAAAAATATATATTAAAAATGCCTGAGAAATTAAAAAAGTATTAAATAACTATTAAGTTATCTTCTTTCTCTGCTCAGTCACAGTAACTTTAGAAAACTGGCATTTTTATTAAAACAATTATTGCTTTACTCAAAAATGAGTGGAAATTGAAGATGGAAGATCACCCTGGATAGGACCCCAATAGGACCGATGATGTAATAACCGCTGGGCACAGATAAGCTAGGTCTTCCCAGTCAGATACAAACCCCATTTACTAACAGCTCCCAGTACTGACTGCTTACCCTGAACTAAGCAATGGTACTGATATACATTATTTCACTGAATACTAACCTTAAACGTACAAGAGAGACACTGTTGTACACATTTTGAGATGAAAAAAAACTGAATCCTAGTGAGGCTACCCAACTTGGCCAATTAGTAAGTGACAGAGCCAGAATTTGTACCAGAATAACAGTGGTTCTCATCACAGCAGCCTGCTTCTCCAAGGCCAAAACTATCTTCATGACACTAACACATTTTCACTGTCATTCTCTCCTAAGTATACAGTTTAGTTTTCCAAAAGCTTCATGCTGTGTGTTGATGGCAGCACTGAGGCTAATAGTATGTGAGTTTGTGTATTCTTGTCCTTAAAAATTTTACCGATTTTAATTTGTAACATTTGTTCATAGAAATAACCCACATAAACAAAGCTCTCTGGGGTCTTCAGCAGTTTTTAAGAGTATATAAAGCAGTTCTGCGGCCAGAGTTTGAGGAATGAAGCATCATATTTTACCACCTTCCAAGAACACTTCAGATTTCAAGTAATCCAGTAAAAAAATTGGTTACTGCCCTGGCTGGTTGCTCAGTGGTTAGAGCATCAGCCCACAGACCAAAGGGTTGTGGGTTCCCATACCTCAGTTGAATGCTCAATTCCCAGCCCATTCAGGGTATGTGAGAGGCAAGTAACTGATGTTTCTCTCTCTCTCTCTCTCTCTCTCTCTCTCTCTCTCTCTCTCTCTCTCTCCTCCATCCCTTCCACTCTCTAAAAAAATCAATGGAAAAATATTCTCGGGTGAGAATTTATTTTTTTTTAAATATATTTTATTGATTTTTGTACAGACAGGAAGGGAGAGAGATAGAGAGTTAGAAACATCGATGAGAGAGAGTCATCGATCAGCTGCCTCTTGCACACCCCCTAGTGGGGATATGCCCGCAACCAAGGTACATGCCCTTGACCAGAATCGAACCCGGGACCTTTCAGTCCCCAAGCCGACGCTCTATCCATTGAGCCAAACCGGTTTCGGCTTGGGTGAGAATTTAAAAAAGAGAGAGATCAACTGTCAAAGATGGTGATTGTGGAGACAATATGAATTATGGACCCTGCACTTAGACATCTCTGCTGAGAACCATGGACCCTGCACTTAGACATCTCTGCTGAGAAACATGGGTTTGTCCTGAGTGGATCCTGCCTCCCTATGAGCCTTGCTTTCCCCTTGTGAGGGAGGGGGTTTCTCTACAAAGTTTATAATGATCCTTGTAACGGTGTCATTCTATGATTAAATATTTTCAGATGTGAACATTATTTCCCCCATGAAAAAACAATAGAATGGTGCCAGTGTGTTCATGGCACTATTCTATGATACCACATTTAAATAAAATTGAGTAAATTTTCCAAACAAGAATTACAAGTATTTTTCTTTATATTTTTCCAGATAAAACACAGATGTTAATATGTGTCTGGTGTTCTATTCATTTTCTTGAGAAGTTCTGATTTATCATAGGAACATAATCTAATTCTAGGCTGATTTCCCAAAGGGATTAGTCAACATTTATTTTATTTTAATGCCTTTTAAATCTTTGGGTTCATAAAATCTTACATCTTTCAATTTGAACCAAATCTTGATTTCCTAGAAATCCAGGTTAATGTCAACAATCCCCGAGTCCTTAAAATGTAGCTGATAATTTGTGGAAATTCGAAACAGATTGATTGTTAGTGATCATGGCTTTCCCACATGGAGAGCCATATATTTTTAGCTTTGTTGATTCACATATTTTAATGAGGAAAACAAAAACAAACTTTTCAGTTAGTCATCAAATATTTATTGAATACTTTCTGTTTTATGATACTATAATGTTAATGGGCTAATTTATTCAATTCAGCTAATCCCTTGAATCGAAATGGTGGAAATTATTCCTTTGTTTTTTCCTCCAGACCATCATTATTTACAGAGAATGCATTTATATTCATCCATTCATCCTCCAGTGTATTTCCACTCCAGCTTCTAGCAAGCTGTCCAAAAATGGCATTAGCCACAAATAAACACTTACCATCATCACCATCGATATTGTCACTGAGGGAGCATAGTGATCTGGGAACGTCCTGAATGGACTATGCTAAGGCGGCATTTAGGTCTGTCTCGTTCATTTGTGTTCCTCTATTCAGGGAGGAAGAAGAGTGAGAAAACCATGGAAAAGAAGACAAACGCATAGCCAGGCCTTTCCGACATTGTGTTTAGAAATAGCCTCTAAAGTTCTTTCTCTGAGAATTGGTAAAAGCCTGGAAGAGGAGGGGAAAGTAAAAAAGAAAAACACATAAAAATGTAGAAAAGAAAGAATTTGCAAATCAGAATGCAGATCATTTGAACAGAGAATCCTAAGAGAGGACCCCGGCTGAGGGGGGAGAGGAGAAGGAAAAGGTAAGGAAGGAGCACTGACCAGAGGCTTCCTGGGAGCGGACAAATGGACGGCATCAGTCACAGAGCTAAACCCCCAGGGTCTGAATGCCAGTGTCGATTGCTCATTCAAAGTGAGGATTCTTTGGTGTAATTATAACGCCACAACCCCAGAAATCTTATTTTAGACTTCTACAACTCTCTTATATAAACTTTTAAATAATTTTAAATAGAAGCTGAGTCTAAAGTCAATTCTTCCAGGTGATTTTGATGCAGTGGTCTAAACACTTGAAAAATATTGCAGACATCGCCCCGACATATTTTTAATGTCATGTTATGTTTTAATGTTTGCCACATTCCATAAACGTTAACCCTCCACAATCCAAGTCTTTACCATAGACCCTAAAGTCTCACATTAATTTCAAGGAAATAGTGTGTGTGTGTGTGTGTGTGTGTGTGTAGGTTGGTGCAGAAGGTGAACTATTCAGCAAGTCCCTTCAACTTTGTATCTCGTGTGACTTTGTATTTGAACTGATCTCTATCTATCTGCCTCTGGCTTTATGGGAGGAAAAGTACATTTCCTAAAGTGATAGGTCTGTGTGAGGGGAATTAGAGCATCAATGAGGAGAGATCACCTGACAGCAATTCAAAGTGATGACTATTTTTATTTCCTGAAGGTAAACAAGCTAATAGTTTATGTTCAAAAGAATGAGTTTTTCTGGAGTGAGGGGGTAAAGAATATATCTGTAAAACAACTTGTTGTATTCCTCCAGTTTATTCAGACCCAGCTCCCATGCCCTGAGAGGAAGAGTGCGGGAAGGGGGCTGTGGGCATTTCTTTGGGCCTCAGTTCTATGGCGGCAGCAGG